GTGCAAATGCCACTATGGGTTATGCTGACGGAGCTCCTGCACAGGAGAGGTGGAACATCGGCTCCGGCACGTCCGCCCCGAGCCCTGTGCCATGGGGACGGCGCTGGCATCGCCCCGGCACGCCGCTGCCTTCGCCGGGCTCATGAATAACGCCGGCGTTGAGAGGCTTGGCTCCTAGCCTCCAGCGCGTTGGCATCCGCCGCTATTGTAGGCGGGGATTTTTTTTATTTTATTTTATTTTCGCTTTGCAGCTGTCATTTGGGTTCTGGAGGCGAGTGGTGAGTGTTAAGGGGTTTGGGCTTGGACCGCCTGGGAATTCGGGTCCTGGTGAGGATTTCTGCCGGAGTTTTTGTGTCTCGGGAAGCGGCGTGGTGATGACAGGCAGCAGGCGGGGTGTGGGATGCTCGGCTGGGGATGCAGGGATCACCTGCCAGGTCCAGCCTAGCGCAGGGTTAGTGGTCCCGAGCTCCTAAAGGGGTTTTCAGAGCTCACAGCCCAGGGTCCCCCCACCCATCACCTCCCTGCACCATGCCCTCCTCCCTGGACACCCCTTGCTGGGGCCAAACTGTGGCTGAGAGCAGCCGTGAGACCCCCCCAGACACCGGGATGCTCGGAGAGGTGCCAGAAGTAGACCCTGGATACAGAGCAGGGTGACAAACCTTCCTCTGTAGCGGGCACAGATCTGCTCCCCCCCGGCGAGAAGTGAGCAGGCGGCAGGCAGCGGGGTGACTTGTAACCATATTTATTTATTATTCCACATGGAAAGTCATTAAAATGATTACACGCAGGCCTGACGCTATAACCACGTACATCGGATAAGAACATCGACACCGAGAACAGAAAAGCAGAACCGACCACTTTGCTACGGCTTCGTACCAACGCGATTTCCACCCGCTCGCTCGGAGCCCGGCTCTGTTCTCGCCGATCCAGCGCAGCACAGACGGCTCCGGCGACAGCTTCTTCCAATGACTTCTCCAGGAGCAGACCCTCCTCTTCCTCTCCCTCCCTCCCCGCATCCCCCCTCCCCAGTGACAAGTGCTACAGGTTAAAAAGACGGGCTACATATTAAATATAGGGCGTTACCTTCAAGTAGGGCTGGTATATTACACAAATAACCACATGATTTGGTATCACTAGCATTTTTTTTTTTAATGTCCATCGTAAGACACCATTAAAAAAACCAACAACTTTCTCCTTCGTTATCTACAAAGCTCTCTGTTCTCATCGCCTTAGTCGTTTGCTGTTCTTTTACCCTGCACACACAAGTATTAGAAGCATTATTAAGAATCGGATCCTTCAACACATTTAAGAATTATATTATTATAACAAATAAGACCAAAAATTAGATTTTTATAGTTAAATATTCTGTGAGCCAGACAAAGGGGTTTTACTGTACAAGCGATTGTGCATTTTTTTTTTTTAAAAAGCAAATTATAGTGCAAAGCAAAAAACGTTGGCCTGTCTCCTGACCATTTGCATACCATAGAGGTGCACGTATTTACACCTTCACATGACAATATGTCATAAAAGTAACATCGTTGCCATTCTTTTTTTATTATTTTATTATTCTTTTTTTAAAATTCACTACGAACAGTCTTAAATTAACCTAGTACTACGAATGCCTTGTTTTCTTTGTGCTTTCAGTCAGTGGCGCGATCGGATGATAAACGTCAATGCATCGAAACACAGGCTGCCGTGGTCCAGTTTCTACAGCTGGTAAGCACCGGGGAGGTGCTCGCTGTCGCTAAGGCAAGTGAAGGTTGCAGTTTTGCTGGGGTAGGGCTTTTTTTTTTGGAATTATTATTATTTTTTTTAAGAGTTGTTCTTTTTGTTGCTTATTTAACTCACGAGTGGTCATCGCAGCTTTCCCAGGAAGCCAGGATGTCTTGCTCCAGTCTCGCCGTGGTAGTGCAATTTCAACGCTCTGTTGCCGAGCTGCCAACTGAGATTTGGGGAGAAGTGGCGTGGCTGTGATGGGGGAACTCAGAAAGAGGGGCTGGGGGGGGGTTCAATTTTCCTGTGCTTATGCAAAAAAAAAAAAAAAAAAAGGCTTGGTTATCGGTGGCACTGGGATCAGGGACTGTCCCTGTCCCCTTGCTGCAGGGTGGGCAGTGGGTACCACAGTCACACGCTCCCCGGGAACCTGCCCACGCACCCTCAGCGCTGCCGGCGTGAGGAATCCCAAATCCAGCCCGAATTCCCACGCCAGCAGAAAGCCCACCTGGCTTGCAAGAGGTGACATGACCCTGCGGTGTGCGTTGGAGCCTGGCCCTGGGGCTGCCTACGACCTCCCGTTACGGCCCCGTTCGGGTCGCAATCTCTTTGGTATCAGCTACGAGGGTGCTCGAGAGACCTGGTTCCTCTGGAGGCTGCGGGATGCAACCAGCTACCGAGGGGCCGGTGGTACCTTTAGCGCCCCTTCCTCAGGTTATTCCTCCACAGCAGGACACCTGTGTGCGGGGTCACTTGGGGAAGGAAGGGAGGGTGAGGGCTGGAACACGCTAGATAGCATCGCTTCAGAATATTCCCACCACCAAGGGACTGAGGAGAAATCGCTCCTTTCTCCAAATCTCAGTTAGAGCTTTCAGCATGAACTGACAAGTGTTAAGTCGTTTCTTAATAAAAAAAAAAAGTCACCATGTGTCAATCCACTCTGGGTGAAAACACGGGAAAGAATCCTAAGAGCAATCTGATGCTTTGCCAGCAGCTGCATGTGTCGCCACTCAGAGAGGATGGAAGGACCCAGGGACCAGTGGCAGGGTCACGCCAAAGGCTCCCGAGTCCCTTTTGCAGCTAACGCGCTTGGAAGTGCATCTCAAACATCTCGGATTGTCCTGAACGCCGCCTTCGCTTCAGTCACCATCACTGAGATTTGCTAAGAGGAGCAAAGAATGGAATGGTGAGGTCAGGACAAAAGAGCAAACAAAACAAAACAAAACACATCTCGTAAAAAGTACATCTCGCATGTAAACATAGAGGAAAGGGGGTCTGTCAGGCACGGGATCAACCACGTTACTGATTAAAAAATGACGACAATGACAAAAAAGAACAATACAACCTCTGTCGTCAACAACAAATAAAAATAATCACATCACAGCTCTCGTTCACATGGCTGATGCCGGCCGACCCGCGAGGAGCCCGCGGCCCCCGCGCCTGCCCGAGTCCCCGTGGTTGTGCTGTAAACCAGACTCTCACGTGCCGTGCGCAGCTCTGGCGTTGTCCCGGAGCTCTTTGGTGGTCAGGGGCCCTACACAGGCGGGGAGGGAAGAAGAGGAGACAACAGGGAATTTTTCTTTTTTTTTTTTTTTTTTTGTTTTTTTTTTTTTTTTTTTTTTCAGTTCAGTCTTCCTGCTTTGGCAGAGAGATGGCTTGGACGACTCCCTCGTTTGTTCTCTTCTCTGAAACATTTTGCAGAAGAAGGGTGAGCTTTACGTAAGTCATGAATGCTTTGTGTGGGGAAGAGGTGCAAGTGAGATGACTGAGAAGTGTTCTGCAAGAAACAAACATCTGATTCCACACGTCCTTTTTTTCTTTTCCCCCTATGTACAATCCCCATACTTAAAACATACGAAAGGAACCACATCAAGCGACAAATTCAAGCCTCGTGGATGTTCGTCTTGAAATGTAACGTAGGTCCTGGTCCATCTTCGCTTGATGTTTGCCCATGCTTGCATGCAGAGAGGATCCTGGTTTGCTTTGGGTTTGGGAGACTTTGGTTTAACTTTTCCCTAGGCATCATTTTGCTCTCAAAAGGTGGCTAAGTTAAAGCTATCGGTGCCCAGTTGAGTTCCTCCTAGTAGGGTCTCCAGACCGACTCATCCATCCTCCCAGTAGTTGTCATGGTCGTCGGCGAGTTACTGTGGCTCCCGTCCGCATCCACCCCGTCGTTCTGATTGCCCAGGTTGGGATTCATTAAGTTGTTCCCGGCCGAGGCACTTGTACAAGAGGAGAGCATCCGGGTGGGGGACCGCTCGCCACCCGCCACCATGGAGAACTGGTAGGAGCCCGAAGAGGTGCCGTAGTACAAATGGTAGGGAGAGGGGTTGGCCTGGAAGGGTCCACTTTGGTTCTGCGTGGAGCCGGGGTAGGGGGGTGGCAGGTAGGTGTGGTGGAATCGCGTCGTGGTGGGCATGCTGGTCATGCTGATGCCCCCGATGCCCGTGGCGGAGGGCGTCGCGGTGTAAGGGAAGGCAGCGGACATGGCGCCGGGGTAATGCATCCGCGGGTCGGAGAATCTGGTCTCGGTGAGAGCCGGCAGCGTTGGGAAGGAGCGATCAAACTGCCGGGGGTCAGAGAAGGGGCTCAGATCTGATGTGCCTGTTGGGGTGGAGGAAGGAAGTGGGTGGTTAGAGCACAATCCCAAAGGCTCGCAGAGTTTGTCCTATGGCCCAGGCCATCCCCTGCCCATGGAATTAAAGTCAGAGGGAAAAGCATCTCTTGGATCTGCCAGGGAAGAGAGCTGAGGAACCTAAATACAAAAATCCTAAACCCATTTGTTTAAGTTGTTCCCATTTCCTGTCCTAAAATTTGTTGTTTCCTATCCAAGAAGGGACACGACTAAGCCGACTCCTCCAGGGGTCTATTCATCTGCGGCAGATTAAAAAAAAACACACCCCATAAACACAGAAAAAAAAATGTTTAGCCATTACATCAGCTGTGTAGTAAATAAATGGATGCAGGCCCCAGACGGCGGTCCCCGAGATAGTCGGTGGTGTGTATACACACACACGGAGACAGAGGGGAAAAGCTGGAGCCCAGAGCAGCCGGCTGAGCCTTCTTGTGGGTGGCCTGTTCGTGCCGATACCATCAGGGGATGGAGCTGATAAACACATGGCTGAAAAGTCCCAAGCTAGGAGCCGCAGTATCCTTCTGCTTCATTTCTCTGTGTATTTTTCTCCTTCCAAGAGGATAAAGAGAGTGAGAAATTCAGGCTTTCTTTTGCTGGGGGAAGGGAGGTTTGGGTGGGCATGGTGGGGACATCACCCAGCTCGTTTGGATGCTGGAGCCCCCTCATGGCCTTTTTTTTGGGGGGGTCTACACCCAAAGGGGGTTGCAGCCAGCTGGTAAGTGGAAAGGGGCCTCTGCCCGGTGCTGCCAGGTCCCGTTCTCCTGGGGGAAGCCCAGGTTAGGGTAGGAATCCATACGAGCAGATTCTTTGAGGACCTCAAGACTTTTCTGTGGCTCGCTCAGCTGTCCCAAAACCGGTGTCGTTTCCTTACAGAGCCCCGCATACCTCCGGCCTTTGCGCGGCTGAGACAGAGAGAAATGAGTTTTGCTCTCCAAGGAGAGGTGTGAACCCCCTCTCCTCAAGACCTTGGTGGCCCACGCCAAGGTCTGGTGCTGGCTGTGCAGGAGGACGCGGCTAAAACGCTGCGACTGTGCCTTTCTCGGCCTTTTAACACCCCCCATGAGATGACAGTCTCTAAAAAGAGCAGTTCTAGCCCAAAGGGCTTGGCTGGTGCTCCGATCCCAAAGCCTTGGCCAGCAGGAGGTGGCTCTCCACCCCTTCTGTCTACTCCCAACACCCTCGTTAAATGCATCGCGTCTTTCTGCTTGGACATTTTTTTGGTCACATCGGCTGGATTTTGAATCGACTCAGAGCAAGAAAACGTGTGAGATGAGTGTGATAAACACACTTGTTGGCTTTAGATATGCATATGTATAGACGCACATCCACAGGATTGTGTATGTGCTGGGCATGCAGAGGGATGTGTGTTGTATGTATATTTATTAGGATGAAGCATTTTTAATGTCTCGGGGCCCTGCAGCATTTCCCCAGGAAAAAATACTCAAGCTAATCCCTTCCAGCTAACTAGTGGCAAGGGCACACTGTGGAGGAGCATGCAGGGAGGGGATTTGATCTGAACCCTCTTTCTCATCCCAGGTGAGTCCTTCAGCCACTGGGTGCTGGAAGGAGAAGGGGAGGGGAGGTTCCTCCCTTCCCTCCAGCCGTTTTGCGGGTGATCGGCGGTGCCTGCCTTCCCACGCAGGCTCCACGGAGGAGAAAAGCAGGGGAGCACCTGGTTTGTGAACGTGGCTGCGGCTTTGGTGTGAGATAAGAGAGGAGCAGCTCAAAGCTGTCACGAACCGCACCGCTCTGCACACACCCGAGGCTGGATGCAGCTGAGCCCGGAGCTGACCTCTTGGATGCTATATGGAGGGGGATTGTGCTTGGGCTGGCTGGAAACGCACTACGCTGAAAAAAAAAAAATGCACACAATTGACGAAACCGACCCGATCTCACCTCTCAGCCTGCCCCATCCCAAAGCCATGCTGCTGCAAAAGCAAAACCAACGCTGCTGTCAGGCACTGTGAGGTGGGGTTTGCAGACCAGCTCTGCAAGGAGCAGCCTGACCAGAGCCCGTAGCTTCAGCAATCCAGCAGCATCACAGGTGGGACCATGGGACAAAAATCCTGGGTGGACTTGGACTGGAGAGAAAAAATACAATTTTCTGAACACCTCCTCCTCACACGCACACAGCCCCGCCACTGTGGTCCAAGTAGCTGGACTGTTTTGCCATAAACCGAGAGAAGCAGTCTTGAAATCCCCCCCAGCCCCTAGAAAACCCCGACTGCTGCTGGCTACCTTCCTGAGAGCAGATGGCAATCTCCAGTGATCAGACCGTGCTCCTTCGTTAGCTTTCACATGCCCATAACTAATATTCTATAAAATGCAAATCGAAATAAAACCCAAGTGCTCAGGGCACGTTTCCCTTTTCCCCTATAACACAGCCAAAGGTGGTTTTTTTTTTTAAGGCTACAATTTATTGGCCTGAACTTGCAACTGTTTGGCAATGGGTCCTTGTTACTAATTTAGACGCAAGCGTGCAAGAGTGTTAATTACAGGCTGCGTGCGTGACGAGCAAAGCGCAGCGATACCGTTGGCTCTGAAGACGCTATTGCCGGCAGAACACGGGCGAGCTCTCCTGCTGCCAGGCTTTAAAATCCTCAGTCCCTGAGAGACAGCACTCCGCAGGGTTGGGCTCCGTGAATCTGAGAGTGTGTGGGTGCAAATCCCTTGGAAAGCAAATCCCTCAGAAAGCGAATCCCTCAGAAAGTGAATCCCTTAGGAAGTGAATCTCTCAGAAAGCGAATCCCTTAGGAAGCGAATCCCTCAGAAAGTGAATCCCTTAGGAAGTGAATCTCTCAGAAAGCGAATCCCTTAGGAAGCGAATCCCTCAAGAAGTGAATCCCTCAGAAAGCAAATCTCTCAGAAAGCGAATCCCTTAGGAAGCAAAACCCTCAGAAAGCGAATCCCTCGGCTGTGCCAGCCCCGGCCAGGGACATCCACGGCCCTCTGCAGTGAGTGGGGAACCCAGGCAGCCATGACCAACCTGCTTTCCTCTTTGCTGGGCCTTGGGCTTAAAGTCTGGCCTCAAATAAAGCTCCAGCTTTCCCTGACCAGTCTGAGGCTAAAAAAGTAAAACCCCAAACCACGCCAGAACCCCCAAACCCGGGAGGGAGAGCCTCTCTCAGACCGGCCTGAGGCGGCCACGGCCCCCTGGGCCTCCTCCCAAA